TCAGATAGATGTGTACATGTACATAATGCAATACAAAATCCAGGCACTGACAAAGATGGTGGGAATAACAGAGAATAGAAAAACTGAATGAGATAGAGGGATAGAGAGAGGTATAAATCTGTGTTTTAGACTTGTCTGGATGTCAGTGGGCTGTGTTTATGAATAATGGAAAAGCTCAAGTCAGTGGCCTTTAAAACAGCATCCAGGTAAACAGATTATCTGTATTTCTCTGTCTCGGTCTCCTTCTTTATCCACACACTGTGGCTTTTCCTCCTAAAGCACACCAACTTCCCTATCTCACTCCATCTCTTCCCCCTCTTGTCTCTCCCCCTCACTTGTGGATGCTTGTTCTCTCCCTTCCATTTATGCAGAATTATTCACCGTTTCAAACAAATCTCTAAGGGAACGCCTTTCCCATTCTCCTGCTCCTAAAACATCACCATGAAAGTATGTTCCGTCACAGAAAAAAAAGACAATACTCAGTTTTTTGTAGGCAACCTGTGTGATATTTTTGAAAAGGCACTGATATTACAGACAGCTGCAGGGAGAGGGGATTCATGGCTGAAGGCAGGCCATAACTCTGTTTGCAAGCATGTGATCATTTGTGTGTGCTTGGTGTAATACTGGATCCAGGAAAAAGCCCAAATGGACAATGTCAAGTAACCTCGAACTTCAACCAGATACGTGCGAATTGGTCGTCTGCTGCGGTCTGTTTCAGCTCCGTGCACCCTCGTCCGTCAACACCCAATGGCTGCGCCCTCCATCCGTCCTGCGTCGAGAGCACAGCTGTCAGCTGGAGTGCAGAGACAGAGGAATTTAAAGGGGTCATATTATGCTTTTTCTGGTTTTATATGCTCTTTAGTGTGTTTTCCATGTGCCCTGTGCATGTTTAGGCACATCTATGTGCAAAAATTCAAAGTCTGCGGAAACGCGGCTTCTCCTACCTCCTCCTGTCAGCTGCAGTACTAGCTGTTTAAACGGAGTGTTTTATTCTGAAAATAAACCGGATGTTTTAATTTTGTTTCGGTGTCTGACTTCCCGTCCCGCTTGTTCTTTTCTGTGCTAAATTGATCCGGCAAAAATAGAAGCCCTGCGTATCTGCTGCGGAGGGCCCCGGACTGCCGTAGCTCAGACGCAGCAGAGCAGAGCCAATGGAAGCACACACACTGAATAAAGTGAAAACCGAAACCGAGAGAGACCGGAAGCACAACTGGTGGAAGTTGGCCGTAAGGGCGGTGAGTTACCAACTTAGCTCAATTAGCCTTGCAGTGAGCCCCAACAGAACCCCAGTTCACTGTTGCTGCAAGTGTGACGCACACAAAAGGTGTTGTTTCATTGTCTGTATATATCTGGTTTATGTGTTAATTTAGGAATTATGTAACTTTATAAAGGGCTCTGTAATATGAGCCATGTTGACCAGTTAATGCCGCCTTTGAAGAACACAAAGCTTCAATTTAAACAAACTGCATAGCTCAGATTTGCCAGCAGGAGGCAGTGTGGCGCTGTGCTTCTCTCATGGACTCTCTTGGCGAGCAGATTGTCACTCGTCGCTTCTTCACTATGCCGAACGAAGCTGCACTGAACAGAAGCACTGTTGAATACCTCATCTTTTCTCCTGTTTACACAGGTTTGTGAAGCTTGAAAACATGTCTACATGTGTAGGAACATGGTTTAACACTAACAACAAGCTAAATCGACTTTGAAAGGTAGTTTAAGAATGTTTTTTGTAAAGAAGCAGGGATTTTGTTTTTACTCTGCGTCAAGTGCAGGCCAAGATGGCGCTGCCGGACGTAATATCTTTTTGGTTATTACAAAATAAGAGTCTGGTTAAATTTCTCGTTCCAGTACATTTCACTCAGGATTAACTATTGTGTTTCTGGTAAAAAAAGAAAGTGGTTTTCTGGTTTTAGTTACCCTACCCTAACCCTAAGTTAATAATATTATGTCACAGTCTTAGCTAAACATTTTGAATACTATAAGTAAATAAAAAGGTGAAAGTTGACAGTCTTTAGCTCATTTACTTATTGTTTACTACTAGCAATGTGCTAGTTTCTCTTTACAATGTGATTTAAACTTAAGAATGGAAAGGCTTGTGGTATCGATGGTGTCATCCAGAACCATGTATACCAGAAGAATAAAGTGAAAATCTTGGCTTGCTTGATTGATTTCAGGAAAGCTTCTGATTCAATTTGGCACAATGGTCTTCTCTATCAGCTGCTCCAAAATGGTGTTGGAGGACACATTTATGATTTGATTGGGCCTAATTATCACTGCATCAGGACATTCTGGTAAGACTGTGAGTTCATTGGCTGATACATTTCGTAGAGCTTATTATTAGTGCATAAGAACAAACTAGTTCAAACTCAACCCATCTATAAGGATTTGGATCAAAATTTTCAAAAGTATTATTGAGCCAATCCTTCTATATGGAAGTGAAGCCTGGGCCTGATTAATCAAAGAGCAGCTCTGGGACTCAAACCCAGTGGAAAGAGTTCATCGCATGAGGGTCACATCAAAGCAGACCAATGCTCAGAAATAAACTGCTTAGGTATCAGTTGTAAACAAGTGAAAGCACATACTTTGTGGGGATGATGATGTTTTGTACTTTGTTATTGTAATTGCTACTGCTGTTACTGTTCTTTACAAAGAGCTTTCTGAGGTTTACTGACACTGAAAGTCTTGTTCACAGTGTCTGTACCGTCGAGCAAACCGCAAAGGTAATGCATTTTCACATGCACACACACACACACACACACACACACACACACACACTCACCTTGTACATACTGTACATTTTCTCTTTCGATGCAAATATATTCCAAATTCTCGGGTTTAAAAAAATAATTTTATTGTACTGTTTGAAGTGCTATCTGGAGACATAAACAAAAATATTGTATTTCTATATCTTTCAGGTGGTGCAATACTGCTGAGTGACAAGGAGTTGGTCAAGAAAAAGAGAGGTGCCCTAGATTTTTGTTCTTCCGAGGGAGTCATTGCTGTGAAGTGGTACGACAGTAAGTGTGTCAACTTGCTTAACAATGCATGTGGGGTAGAGCCGCTGTTTTCAGTGAAAAGATTCTCAAAGGATGCACGACAGGAGGTTGACATGCCATGCCCGTCCATTATCCTGGCCTACAATCAAGCCATGGAGGGCATCGACCTCTCAGATATGCTGGTGCACCTCTACAAAACACCAATGAAGTCAATGCGCTGGTACATTCCCTTGTTTGGGTACATCATTGATGTGAGCATTGCTAATGCATGGCTTATCTACAAGAGGGACTGCAACCTTCTCAAGGAGAAGCCAATGCCTCTCAAGAAGTTTAGTCTCTCCGTCGCAGCTGCACTCAAGAAAGCCAACAAGTTGCCAGCCAGGGCTGGCCAGTCCGTCACCCTAAGTCCTGAGTTCTCCAGCCCACCAAGCAGGTCCGCTATGACGGCATCGGACACTGGCCAACATTTGGCAGTCAGAGAGGGAGGTGCGACTTCTGCAAAGGTGGAGTGTCGCGATGGCGGTGTTCCAGGTGTGGAGATGGCAAGTTGTTCCTTTGTTTGAACAACAAAAAGCAGTTCTTTGTTGCATACACCAGAAGTAGGTGTAAGTGTCACACTCTGTGTTCCAGTTAGCAAGTTAAAAAGAAAAGAATTACTCTTCACAGTGAATATGTTACTATTGTGCATTGTATTTTTGTATTTGATTTGTTTTTTTTACAGATAAATTAATAAATATATTGAATATATTAAATGTTATTTTAACAAATTCTACTCTGTGATGTTTTTATTTGAAAAAAACTAAAAATGTTGTTGCAGAAATGGAAGAAATCCATTTGTGCCCAGAATAACCCTAAACGGGCATATCTGCTTCCTGATTGGGTAAAATAATTAAGTAGTTGTTAAATGTATTGGTGTAGTGTGTGAGCCTGCACACACACACACACACACACACACACACACACACACACACACACACACACACACACACACACACACACACACACACACACCACACACAGAGAGGATGGTGTAGGCTACCTGTTGTTTATCACATATTTTCCTGTGTCCACTGAGTGACTCCATCCTCTATAAGTGCTCAGATTGCTTTGATTAATGTACGTCACACTATGATTTAGTTTTGACAATCAAGGGCTCAATCAACCAGGTATATTGTACAAATGAACGGTAAAACTAGGTGATATAAATAATCCATGTGTAGATATTTGAAATGGGGTTATTCATGTAGTGTACTGTGTGGGTTAGTGAGCAAAGTCAAAGTCAAAACCATGCAGACGTATGTGTGTAACATTGTACGCTGGAATGCTCAAACAGTGACGCACACTGTACAAGATGATCAAATGGGATAAATGCTGATTGTTTTAAATCTTCCTGAACAAAGATCACAGACTGTGAAAATACAGATTGTATTGATTTTCCAGGTACTTGCAGTAAGTGTACACAATATTGATATAACTTAGTTAGAATGGACACATGTGCCTGAGGTTTCAAAAGAGGGAAGAGCTTTGAGAACTTTGTTTGGCATATTCTTTGTAAAACTGGTGGGAGACGTAAAAGAAAATCAGAAACACATTTATTTATTTATGTATCAATTCACCCCACTTCCCATGGTTTATGACCGCCTCTCCAAAAACAGGTACCATAATCCCACAATGTAGACATACATAATAATTGCTATCAATGAAATTAAGAGGATTACCACAACAAAACATGAACTGTGCAGAAGGTTTGGGAATATTTGTGTAAGCAGGCTTTTCATTCTGAATATAGATTTCCCTGTGTATTTCACTCGTCCAAATATAAAGATGTTTTGAGAAAACTTGCATTCCCGTGGGGTAGGAATTAACAAGATCGATTGCAGATATCAGTGCAAACAGCCCAAAAATCACCCAGCCAAGACTGAGTAGAACCTTCATGTTGGAGAGAGACTCTCAGTTTAATCCATTGTGTGATTGTGTGTGAGTGTGTGTTTGAAGCAGGACCACACACAGATGAGGTTGCTGCGATCTCGAGGCATTAACAGGTCTGACATTACGCTTTCATGCTTGGTTGGGTTGTGTGTTTATTTTTGTGTTGGTTTGTGTGTGTGTGTGTGTGTGTGTGTGTGTGTGTGTTTACCTGTGTGTGCACCTGTGTGTGTTTACCTGTGTGTGCACCTGTGTGTGCATGTTTCCAGCAAGAGCGGTGTTCCGGTCGGTTGAAGAAAGAGATACGTGAGGGTTTCCATTCACACCAACAAGATTCAGCAGGACAAACAAAAACCAATTGTATAACACACACACACTCCTCAAACACACACATCTGCTACAAAAACAAGCACAGAGACAATGAAACACAACCTTATCTGAGCCAGACACTACATTTAATAACCTTCAAATGCACAAAATAAGCACAAACAAACATCTCCATTAAGTAATAACCTTTATGGCGACAAAAGGGAAGAGACCTGACTCTGGGCATGATCGCAGCTTTACACACATACACACACACACACTCCCATGAACTGTGACTGTGACTGACTGATAGTAATTGACCAGCTGAGGTTCTAAATTCTGCATTTGTGTCTGTGTGTGTGTTAATATTGATATTAATATTAACTGACACTTCAATTTGGACGGGAAATACAGCATTTTACCGCCAGTTTGCTTGAGTGTTGGTGGCTGGGACGGCTGTGTGACCTTTGCCTGTGTTTGTGTGCTTGTGTTTGTCTGTCAGCCTCCTTGTGTGTCCCTGCTCAGCATCCTCTCCGCTCTGCTTTTATCTCCAACATACTTCTTCTCATTCAGACCCTCTTCTAGTCTCATTTACACGCCGCAGTATTTGTCTGTGTAACTACGGCAGCTTCCATTCAATCTAACTGCTTCATGATGAAAATGGATCATACTCTCCCTGCCAATAAAATACTTTCTCCAACACTTAATTAAAACAAAATGGTGTCCATCCATCCATTATCTATACCACTATTTTTTACATTCTCGGTCACAGTGGCTGGAGCCAATCCCAGCAATCACTGGACGAAAGGCGGGGTACACCCTGGAGCATGGCTGTATTATGGATAAGGCATTTTAGGCGGACCCTCATTCATTCCTATGAAAGCTGCTAGTGGCGTATGAAACAAAAAAAGTTCTAAGTGTAAAAGTACCTGGATCTTTGGCGTTACTGGTCCCATAGAGCATGCGCACCTGAGGTCACAGTCCCCAACCAACAGGTCTGCTTTTAAGACAAGATCTTCAAATATCCAATTAGTTGTGTTGGGGCTTTGCTTATGCAGATGAAACTGTGCATGCTTTTGGCACATCAGCATCACATTGTCTTAAGTATTAGGACCCTGAAAAGATACTGCAAGAAACTTTCCAAACAAAGAACCTCACTGACTTAAATGTACGGCTTTATTCTCGTAAATGTATGACTTTAATCTTGTAAATGTTACTTTAATCTCTTTAGAAAAAGGAATTTACCTTTTTAAGAAACTCAATACCAGGCCCGGCCACCATGTTGAATTGGCTCTATCAATCTGTGCACTTCATGTGGGCTTGCAGTGGACTAATCGTGAGAGGCAGAAAGCCTTGGCATTCTGATGTGCTCCTCTTTTCATCACTAATGACTATGATTACTGAGGTTTTAATAAATAAATGATGCACCTCTCTTTCAGCTGTAGGAGGCTGTCCACCCATGCACTTCAGTGCAGTATTGAGGCTGTCCTGAGACTTTATAATCCTCATTACGTTACGCAACGGCAGACAAGCCCAAAAAGACACACACACACACACACTCAAATCACCAAGCATTAAGGGCCATCAACTTTACAGGATTCTGCCATAATCTTTATCTAAACCTTCAAAACATGCATGCTTCATTTTTCTTAGCCTTTAAAAACACACCACTCGTAGTTTCCACAGGAACAATTCCAAGGACACATTGGACATGTTGCTCAGCTGGGGATCAAACCCTTGACCTTCTGGTTGAGAGGCAAAAACTCTACCAACTGAGCCACAGCCGCCCAATTTTCCCAAAAAGGTGACTGACATCTCCACAGTTTACATGCAGGAAATGTGGTCAGAGTGCTGTCAAAAAGAGCACAGACTGTGAAGAACTTCTGCAGGTTTCTCCTTTTTTTAAACTGAATCTTAAAAGCCAACACGCTCCCCTGCAGTGAGACAGCACAATTTGTCAGCAGAACTTGCAGGGTTTTGGGGGGAGGGCAATTATTTTGAATCTGTTAACGTGTAAGCTGAAGTTTTAATATGGGGACATCTCAGCAGGATCTTATCTGCCTGTATCCAACAAAGTATCCCATCACTCTTCAGGGATTTCACTCGTGATAGTGGCTGTAAACCTTTTTTAAATCTGCTGAAAAAAAATGAACATTTTAATACAGCAGGTAATATGCATTTTCCTGAGCAGGTTAGGTGCGCAGCACAAGTTACCGTGGCGATATAAGTGAAAGACCTTTGTAGGACTGAAAACCCAGGGTTAACCCCGAATACACAACGCTAATGAATAAGCACTGTTCATTTTTTCAGCTGAAACGCACAACATAACCAACATGGAAGTCAAATAATGTTTCCTCATAATCAGACACTATTGAACGTTCTCATTTCAGGGTCAAATAAACAAGACTGTATGTTTCTTACACTGATTTGACAGCTCACAGACTAAATAAGATATTACAGTTCTTAACATTTCTTGCATCCAGGGTGTACACCTAACAACAACAATAGTTTCAGAGTTTAAAATTTGCATTACATCCATCTCCAAGTCTGTTAGCTGTAAATATGCTTTAACAGATGGTTATAATGAAAACCCTCCAAACGATGTGACAAAGCATATGCTGCTACACCTACATACCATTTATATCAATGACCAAACACACATTCAAATACAGGATTACTTCTTTAGAGAGGCATATCCTTCTTAAACTAATTATCCTCGCCACGGGGGCTTAAAAAGTGAACGGATGCAGATGAATTTGTGTCATTTTAAATAAAAAATGTGTTCTCAAGGTAGTGCTTTTCTTCATAACCCCAGCCACCTGCTGATGTTGATGTTCCTCCCCAGGAAATGGGAATGTAAATGACTCATTATCTCTGATCGAGTACAGAGGCTGAGAAACTTTACAAAAGACAACTTCTGAAAGAAGAGAACGGTCACCTTAAGTCCGCTGAGGACAGTCAGTCAGTTTCTACAACAAACACACACTATGAATAACTTTCAGACTTAGGGTTCTGTTACATTTCTTTCAATCTGTCAATCATTTATTCAACTGTTTGCAAGGCATGCCATTAAAAACACACAAACACACAGCTACAGTGAAATATATATTATTTTTATTAATCTATGTTTAATTTATTTGTTGGCAAGTTACTTGTTCGACAACTATATAAGGCACTAATTAGGTAGAAGCCTTACATGCAGAGCACAAAGTTAACACTACTGACAGACTCCATCAACACCTCCAGAGAGGTTGCAGTGTCGAGTCCGCCCTCTCTTTTCAGTCTGCTGCTGTACATGGAGTCCATGAGGTCAAACCACTTCCATGTCTCCCTTCCCACTGTTATGGTCTT